CTCTGCTGGATATATTGTACAATTACATCATTTGCAAGTAAGGACACGGCTGGTTCATTTTAGAAGTGAAAATTAGAAGTATTAATATTGGCGCACAATGGGCCAGAGAAACCGATATGTTCCCAAACGTCGGTTGGCCTAAAATATTGACCCTACCGATACATAGGTCGGGCTCTAATACTCATAACTATGTTTTGTGTTTTGTATGACTAGACAAACTATTTAAAATGTTTGCCATAAAGCAATTAATTTCATAGGAAAAAAAAAATTATTAAAAAATAAAAAAAAAGGTTTTCACCTTTTTCTAGACTGGTAAAATGTCTGGGACTAAATTGATTTTTGTGTTCCATAGCACATATGAGGAAGTTGTATTTTCTTATAATGCTTAAATGCAAAGACGACCTGAAAACAAGCATTGGAAGTACTTCTGAGCACTGGATGTTATTTAGTCAGTGAGGCTAACTGCAGTTAAGGATTCAAAACAACGTGGATGCAAATAAAAGGTACAAAGGTGGCAAACTGATTCACAAGTTACCTTGAACGGCTTCAGTTGCTCAAGGATCCAACAATCTATCAATATAGCAGCAGTGAGGTCATACATGTCCAGACATGCCTTCTGAAAATGAGGTCATCCCTGTAATCTGAAGGGTAATTGCGCTCTGCAGGCTGCAGTGACAGTGAAAGAATCAATATGCTGGACTCTAGGATGAACATGTCACTGTTTACCTAACTTGGCAGCCTGCATTGGTTAACTGTTACTAATTTGTAACTCGTGTGAAATGGGCGGATGACCTTAGGCAGGCCTCAGAGGTGTGGTTAACAACCAGCCAGAGCTGGGTCATGCGATGTGTTTGGATTTTAGGCTGAATGATGGTGAACTTGCCAAGAGGAGTTGTTGAAAACCTGTGTCCCGCAATTACTGCATTCCCTGCAACCCCCACCCAAAAAAAAAAGAACCCAGTTAAAGCCAAGTGAATTCATTTGAGAGCAGTCAAACATATTTAATAGCTCCATACAAGGCCAATGGGCAATAACACAACAGACAAAACATTGATTCAGTGTGTAGGCTGTTAGAAAACAGTACCAGCAGTACCAGCTGCGTACGTTAAGATTTATTCACTAATATAAAACAATACAATTAGACACAGTTTCACTTTGATGCAATTTATTACCTCTAACTGTTTTATAACATTTAAGCTCGTATCAGCTAACGGTGAAATAAACCAGAAAAACCTTGATGATTCATTTAGCAGTGGGCGTTCTGTTCATGTTGAATCTATTTGGTACACTGAAACCTCAGGGGCAACAGTTGATTTGTTGTTTTTTTTAACGCCCCACTTCAAAAAGGCCACAGACGATCTACCAAATTTTCTTCCAAATCATTTTAATCAAACATCTCATTAAAAGGATAGTTGTTTGTGAAAGTTTGGTCAAATCGTTTTCAATAGATGGAGCAACATTACTCCACTTCAACTCCCCCTCTTAGTAGAAAACCAGTGATAATGACATCCCTAAAAGGTGATGTGATTATAATAAATTACAAACACCTGAAACTGACTCTCTCACCAACAGAACTTTGTGAGGTTGGGTAAAAATAACATAAAGTTAAACAGAGACACACGTCTTTGCTATAATTTGTGGCATAAAACTCATCTTTTAGTGTTAATTTAGCTTAATTCTAAGAACTAAAGCAACAGAAACACGAGCCTCACAGAGACATTCAAACAGGCTGCACGCTCTCGCAGTGGCATTCTCTCGTGGACCAGGAGTTTGGTCACACTCAAGTTGGACATGTCTACGATAATGACAGGAGCACGGTGCGAGACGTCTGTTAGCTACAGCAGGATGAGCGGCGGCTGTGGGCATGCGTAGTCCATTTGCAGTGTGCGTCTCTGCTCGGAGCGCTTTGGGACGGACGGTGTCTCACAGCTGAGCTGCTGCGCGTTCATTTGGGAACGCTGCTTGCACACGGGCTCACCGTACATCAGGTGGTGTGTCATTTGTCATGTGGGTGAATACCAACATGCCCGTTATACAAAGCATATTAAAAAATGTTTTTTTAATTTTTATTCTGAAAAGTGTTCACCAGTTCTTGACCCCCTCCCTCCAGCGTATGGTTTGTACACTTGTGAAAATGATGTAAACTCTGAACCACCCCTAACGTTTCCAAACGATTTATTCTCAGCACATATTGGTGTAGCAACACGGACGATGTTCAGTTGTGAGAACAAGGATGAAACAAACTGTCACGCAAAAGTGTAGAGGTTTAGTATGAGCCTATGTAGCTTTCTTCCATCCTGAAGTCATTTTCGAAAAAAAAACAAGTTGTTTTATAAACTTGAAAAAATTATTAACAAGGGGTCTTTGTTTGGTTAGCCGTTAGCCATTAGCCTAGCATGTACAAAGACTTGTGCTCTTTTCTCCCTACTCTGTGCTCTGTAACTGATGTCATGGCTAATAAGGTACTAATTACTGATAACTAGATGACAGAACATCACTTCGAAAACAGCCTGAATATCCCTTTAAGCAACCTGACAATTCTCAGCCGAGGTGGCTTTAAGTTAAATAAACAAAGATAAGCAGCTCTAAATTTGTGAATCTTCGCTCCGGTGATGGAGAGGCTGCTTCATTTTTGTTTACAGAGTGGGAAACATGAGCTCCAGCGGCTGCAAAATCCATCAAGGCTGCTTCGTTCTGCATTTATCATCTCACAAAACAACTCACTTCCCATTTCTAGAGGTTTGTTATTGTAAAACAAAAGCTGCTCTGATCTGAAATCCTGTTGAAACCAGAGCCAAGGCTAAATTTCCACTCCCCCCCCCCACACACACTCCTTCAGGCCTTCAGTAAAAATGACTCAGACAAGATCAGGAAGATGTCACACATTTTTACACAAACTAATGAAGCACCTTTATTATTATTCATCACATCTATGTCAAAGGCTATTTTATGCTACTCTTAAAAAAAAAGTGCATTATTTGTGTTTACCAACAGAGAAGCAGGTTACACAAAATCACTAAAGAGTTCAGTTTTATTGAAGAGAAGTTCTGTGGAAAGGTTGAACAGTTAATATCTTACCTGCTGCAAAAAGCTATTTGACTGAACTCTGAAAAAACAAAACAAGAGGTAAATTTTAACAGTAATGACGAGCTGATGGTGAATTTGAGCGAGGCCAAAACCAAAACGGAGCACTGCTTGGGCTGCAATTTGAAGTTTTAATTTTGATTTTGACTCCTAACAATCACAAAAACAGCATAATAAATAAAGAATAAGTATTGTTGAATATATTTAATCATATCCTGCTCTGCATACATGCTTTCAGCTTGTCTTGCCTTGTGAATAAGTTGCAGCAGGCCCAGACGGGAGATTTTCAAACACTTTACTAAGCCTTGAAAGTTCTGTTGAAGTAAAACTTTGTGCTGTGTTTTTGTTTAAATTCATCAATAATCAAAAAATCTTAGACATCTCCCCACCAAATTATTGAAATTTTATTAATCCGCCATAAAAGGCATTCTTTAAGGCTGAAAAAATATGGCTAAGTCATAAAGGATGAAATGTAGACATTAAGATAAAAAAAATACAAATTGTATAGGGTCCAATATCATTTAGGTGCACTATGTTACTGCTTTTATTTATTTATGATTATTTTATACAGTAGCTTACATTTAAATACAGTATTTTCCACCGTAAACGTCACTCCACCCTATAAGTCGCATCAGTCCAAATATGTCTAATAAAGTGGAAAAATTTATAAATATGTCACTTCGTTGTATATGTTGCATCTATTATTCATTATTCACCACTGACAACCTGGAAATGTGGGCCGGTGTTGTGCCAAAAATTGATTGGCTGCCGAATGACAGCTGCGGGAGTGTGCACAGAAGGACTTTAACAAGATTAGCACTTAAAAACAATTATTTGTTTGCTCGAAATTATAGCAAAGGTGTGTCTCAGTTCAACTTTTCCTTAATAAATGCACTTTGACGGTCAAATCAGCTGCATTTTCAAAAGCCGATACGCGGAAACTTGAATGCGCAGAGGGTGACTCGCTGTCCATTTCTTCGAAATTTAACAAGATAAACACCTAAAAACAATTATTTATTTGCTCGACTTTATAGTAAAGGTCTTTCAGTTGAACTTTTACTTAATAAATGCACTTTAATGGTCAAATTAGCTGCATTTCACCGGGGTGGCACAGCAAAATGAAGCTGATTTGGTTGCTGCAGGCAAGATGAACGATGATGGCAGGCTATGGCAAGTCGAATGTCAGTAATAGCCACTTTTATCTATTACATGATACAACGGCATGCCATACAGCTCGACTGCGATCTAGTGGCTGAAAATGGTAGTGTTCAATATTTTCAGGCAGAATGAATGAAAATGGTCATATCCCACCCAAATATTGGTTTATAAATACGTCACTTCAGCATATAAGTCGCAGGGCATGCAAATTATACAAAAAACTGTGACTTATAGGCTGGAAAATATAGTAAATATTTCAGCTATTTTAGGCAAGATGTTCAACAGGAGGGGATCAGATATTAACACAACCTTTGCACAGAACCTGCTTCAAAATGCCCAAACTCTCACTTGGAACAGTTAAATTACAGCACAGCTGCTACATTTGTGCACAATCTTGCATTTGCAGCGTGGCTGTAGGTACACTCGCACAGCAGCTTTCTGTTACACTAACACAGCCTGAACACTATCAGCAGCTGGTTACAAGCACATTCGTGTCAGTTTGAGGTATCCTATCTATGCCAGTCATGTACTGACAAATGCACAGTGCAGCTCAAAGCATTCACAGCTCTCTGGAGTAAATTTCTCTGGAGTTAGTTTGACACTATGTACGGCAGCAGGTGGCTGATCCTTCCACATGTTTGACAGCACAGTGAGCAGCAACAGTTTATGAAATTACCCCTAAACCCTCTTGCTATATAAACCAGTGCTTTAACAAGCTACATATTGATACTACTGGGCAATACTGAGCCTGTATCCCATTGGATCAGGAGGAGGGTCCTCGGGGTCTTTTTAATTCAATGCCCCCTCTGACTAAGAATGAGATCCACAGCCTGAGCGACGTCGTCTGCGGTGCCATCAGCAGTCACTGCTGGGTGCCTCTCATCACTCGGCCTGCAGGAAGAGAAGTAAAACCATAAGAAACAAAGAATGGACAGCATTTTGATACTGCAGAGGTACAACACAAGCTGCCTCAGTAAGCTTTTGAGAAAACATTTGCTAATAAAAAGGTTTATATTCCCTCTAAACAAACAACAGGGCAATAAAAATTTAAGTTTGTTAATAAACTGCTGAGTTGCTATCCTGGCGGGTTACAAGGTACCTGCACCGCTGCTTGCCAAGAGCCAGTGAAGGGTAGTGCATGTTTGTGATTTTTATCACCAGCAGCAACACAGTGTAACAGGCTCAATTGTTTCTCTAATTTTATGCAACAGAAACACACAAAAAGACTGAGACCAGTTAATTTAAAGACCAAGCACAAAACTTCAAATTATATAAAACAGGGGTTTAAAATTACATCGTAAATTCTAGTAACTTGATTAAAAATAGGAGCAAAACAAAATTCCTACCACGCATAAAAAGGAACCAATTTGTCTGTGTGCACGTTTTTTTTTTTTTTTTTTTAGCAATGTGGCACACGAGCTCTTTTGACACCGGTCACAGAAGCAGCTAACGCTGCCAACAACTGGTTTCTGAGTGCCACGGGGAAGTGTTTAATTAGTATTCAGTCCAGATCAAGTGACTTTGCAGCAGTTGGGGTATTTATCAGCTCAGCCTCCAATCGGCATCGATGGGAACACAACACCCGGGTGCCAATACTAGTTCTAAATGAGGCTGTTGCACTTGAAGCTGCAGGAGTGTCCCCGTTTTTCTTTCTTCAAAATGTTTAACTCAAACCCTTCAAATGAATCAGAAACTGAGAACAACCACTGTTTAATGTCTTTCAGCTAGCCTATTTTTCCACGTTTAGCTTTTAGTTAGTGTTTTGCAACTTTTGCCTTTTAGCTAGTGTTTCGCTTCCTATAGCTTTCAGCTAGCCTTTTGCTACTTTTAGCTTGTGTAGATGGGTAGAGGTAGGGCAGCCGACTGGGGACCAGAAAGTTGCAGTTCGCCTCCCAGCCATTCCAACATATCGTGGTGTCTCTGAGCAAGACACCCAATCCCTAATTGCTCCCTGGGCACCTACATGGCTGCCCACTGCTCTACCCGAGTGTATCTCACGTGTAATGGGTTAAATGCAGAGAACTAATTTCGCCAATGTATGGGAACATACAATGATGATCATCTCAGACTTCCCTCCCTTTCCTTCTGCTTCTTTTAACTTTAACAATGTAGTTTCAGTTCCTTCAGCAAATTTCAGCAAGGTCATTTTGTATTCAGGAAAATGAGGGCGCAGATTGTAGTGTAAAGCGCTTTGAGTGTCTTGATATGTTTATTGAAAAAATGTGGTTGGTTCTTCCTCGATAAGTTATTGTACTTTTTTGTATTTGATTATGTATTCTAGAATTGCGCCGCTCAAGGTGGCTGCATGTTGGAGCAGTTACTTTCATTCTGAGATTTTGCTTTTGGAAACTTTAATTCCTCTTTTTCTGGATGTAAATCACATTTTTTGTATGATTGTTTCCTCTGGTATCAGATGCTGTGCAGCTGGAAGGATTTTTACTGAAACTTTTTTTAGTTTTGGACATTTGTTATGATGTGTAACCATGGCAACAAGGCAGTTTTCTACAACTAACAGCAGCTGATTAACATCTCAAAAGCTCAAATAATATCTCAATTACAGCCCCAAATCTCAAATGAGTTGAAAAGGATGTTCTGTGGACGCATTCTCATCTACCTGCCAGCTGTGCTCGAGTGCCTGACCACTGAGATCCTGGAACTAGCAGGAAACATGGGTCATGACAGTGGAAGGACAGGATCGTCCCTCGGCACCTACAGTTGGCTGTCCGCAGCGACGAGGAGCTCGGCAGACTGCTGGAAGGAGTGGCCATCGCTCTGGGAGGAATTCTGCCCGGCATTCAGGCGGTCCTACTGCCCGGGGGAATTGAGAGGCCAACCGAGTCTGGGTGGACAGATCGGACGGCATCTGCAGCCAGTTTCTTAGGATCCGCTGTGGGATGGACCTTTACAAGAGATCCTTCCTGCCATCAGTATCTATAACATCTCTTAATGAAATGAGGATGACGAGTTACTGCAACAAATAATTTCCCTTTGGGATTAATAAAGTATAATTCAATTGAATTGAATGCAAAGATAAAAAGATTTGTAAGCTCAATCATCCAGGTAAATAAATACAAAAAAGGTTGATCAAGTCATCGCCCAAAAAGAATCGTGTCCAGATTACGTGATTTGACCTTTTTTGTATTATGTAAAAGGTGTAACTTTTTCTAAGTAAAACCAACATAATAAAATAAGCAATGAAAAAGGACACAGACTGGCCAATGTTTCATCAATATTTTTGTTTCTATTTCCAGTTCCTAAATTGTGGGAAAGCTGCTCATAGCCAACCATGGCCATATCAGACTGCTGCCTTTGTTTGGCTCAGAGCCCATTGATGGAAGCAGATATGGCTGTTTAATCAGCTGGTAGGGGAAATGTAATCCATTTGGTGTGACACTAGGCCCAGGCCGGCATTCAGAACCCTTTTCCTTCCCATCACATCAAAAGACATGGACGCCCCCTTCATTCATCCACAGGACTGCCCAGGAGTCTTGCTCGTTCATGAAGTGGAGCCTATAAATCCCCTCACCACCTCACTTCCCTCCCACCACCCCAGGATGCCTTGACCAGACTCTGTGTGCTGCCTCTGTTCCTCAGTCACAGACTGGAGTTCCAGATGGGGACTCTTTGTTCGTCTGGTCTTGGGTGTGCAGCACACACCACCATTAATCCTGCCTTCTGAGAGCTCTGCAAGAGGACCATGGCAAATATTTGTGAGCTGCCAAGTGCAACGACAGAAAGAAGAGGCCTGGGGGTAGTGGTGGGGCAGAGAGGCAGTGAATACTGAAGCCACTTTGAATGCGGGAGAAGCGCTGCCATGTGTTTACGCATGTCTGTCAGCTGCCAGCGCTTGGGTTATGCGAGCTGCTCCACTAATGATTGGGGTGTTATGTCTCCTGCGCTGGATTACTCCCGCGCCCTCTTCTGCCTGAGGACTGACAGAGTTCACACACGCACATTGAGGCACAAACTCGCAAGCAAGTCAAGTCACATGGCTCTTATGTTTCAAAAAGAGACTCCAACCACATTCTCACTCCTACCTGTTGCACTTTTAAGTCTCCTATGTGCTTGCATGTCTGTGTGCATTCATTTTGCTGCTTTCCTATCACTGCCATGAATAATGAAGGAGCACCCAGGTCAACGTAACCATGCAAAATTCAGCACAATGCATCTAGTGTTACAGGTGAGGTCATCTGCGGCCCGCTGCTTGTCCTTCAGGTCAGCGCAATATCAATACACAAAGGAGATCTGGTCTGGACTCCAAGATTGACTGACACCACACAACTTTTATGTGAAGATGAGGTCAGCCGTGATGTAGGATGTGGACGGCAGCCAACACATTTTTGTACAACACTGCTGCTACCACATTGAAATAGCAAACCACTTTTTCAGAAAATTAATATGTTAGGGAATTTTTGGTGAAAAGTTGTGGATGTTTTTATTACTAGGGCTGAAAATCTCAACTCTGCCCATGAATCATATCTTTGGGTTAGCAGAAAGAGCTGGATGGGGAGCTGAGTGAGGCTGCAGCATGTAGCTGGCAGCCAAGGACACCTCCAGGTTCTGTGAACTCGACTGAACTGATAAGGGTATAAAAGCAAACTCAGAAGTCGGCTCAGGACAGATTCTAGAGACTAGTCTTTACTTTATGTTTATTTGTGTAATCTGTCCTGAAAATTTGACATTGTAAGTAAATACTGATTAAAAATCTCCTGCCGTCGAGTGTGGTTCTTTTTGAGTAAGTAAGATAAAGCGAGAATATATTTCTCCAATAACACATCATCAGAAGGTTAAGGTTAAGACTGTGTTTAGGGCAAAGGTCTAAAAGAGGAGTGAAGATGTCTGATGCACTAAAATGTAGGGATGCACGATATTATCGGCATGGTATCGGCCGATGTTAGCGTTAAAGTTACATATCAGACATTGGCCATTCCATCAAAAATAATTTACTGATATAAAAGGCGCGGTTCTTCTATGACAACCCAGTGACAAGGATGCCTGCAGCGCCAGCACAACGTGATAATGTCACGCGCACCTATCTGATCTGATCACGGCAGAGGAAAAAAATCAAAATGTTGGCGGTGTGGAAGTTTTTTTGTTGTTGAGGATGTTGGATTCCAAAGATTTTTGGACTACGTTGAGCCTCTCTACATCGTCCCCAGTCTGAGATATTTTTCCGACGTAGCTTTACCAGAATTACAAGCTGTCATCTCCAACGACATTGAGAAGCTAATAGCCAATAGCACTTGGGTGAGATTTATCACAGACATTGAGACGTTGCGCTAGCCCCGTTAGCATGATTAGTCTTACGGCACAATGGATAGACAAAAACTTTAAACTTAAAAAGTCTGTCCTTCATGCACAGGAGTGCAGAGGATCCCACACTGCAGCCAGGAAAAAGCCTCCACAAGTGAGACAGCTTCGCAGGTGACTAATGCTAATAAATAACATTTAACACTTTTCATATAATACAAGTTAAAGTGCTATGCATATGGCTGTTACTGAATATATGTCACCAGCTCTTACAGCTGTTACACAATTTTGTAAAAAAATAAGCCTTAATTAGAGGGCTATGTTCTGACAAAGTATTCTGACAAAGTATATAAAAAATATCGGTATCGGCCAAATAAGTTTTAACATATCGGCATATCGGATATTGGCCAAAAATTCAATATCGTGCATCCCTACTAAAATGTAATAGGTTACTCAAAAAATGTTTTTTTTTCTTTTTAATTTTTACCATATTTGGAATCTGCAACATTGGGAGTTGTTGTCAATTTGACCAATATTGTGTCAAAATGTGATGATGTAGTAGCTGAGAGTAATTCCCAACATCTCATTATTTTGCATGAGATTGCGTATTATTTTCATGGTTTGACCAACAACAAAAAAAA